TTCATATAATTGGAAAAATTGCTTAAATATATAAAATAGTATATAAAATATCGAACAAATTTGTTCTATATCATTCAAATATTTCATTATCAAATATTTGTTTATATCAAATATTTTATAAAATATTTATTTATATTAACTATTTGATAATAAAGACTAAAAGATATCATTTAGGTAGAGAAAGAGTACAATCTATAAATGTTGCCTATAAAAAGTATCTTATCTATAAATATGTCATCATAGAATAAACTTCAAGCCTTTTGGTATAAATAGAATTCTTGGCATACTTTAAGGCTGTACGATGGATGCTATGACATACATGTATATATTAAAAATTTAATTCATATATCATATAGATCTGTCATAAATATCTCATCTGCAGACTCGTTAGCCTTTCAGCCACATGCCACATCAAGTTGCAGCCACTTTGTTTCTTTGCATTCATGTTGGAAATCATTTCATTTGAGTTTATGCACAAATAACCGCAGGCAGGCTGTCTACAGGCCGCACTCGCTACAGTGGCTGCTGCTGCTGCTGTTTGGCAATTCGCACATAATTAAATTCAAACAGACACGAAGCAGCCGAGGCAAAACAATCATAAAATCAAATTGCAACTAATAAAGTTTTTGCTGTTGCGGCATTTGCCTTTGAAGTTGCAAGTTGCAACCATTTGCCAGACGCTGCTTGTTGCACAGTTGCACTGGCAACGGAACTCAAGTCAATTGCAACTTGGCTATGTAATTAGGCCAAAATGGGCGTTCCTTGCTTTTACTCTTTCCAAATGCAGTGTGCCTTTCAGGCCATGTTGGCTACGTAATGAGAGAAGAATCTATAACTGTTCGAAAATTGTGAAACATTTTATATTATATTTTTGTTGTATTTTTCAACACTGAAATATGATTGCTGGAATATTTTTATAAAACAGTCGAGTCATATATAAGATAAAGTAAGGGATCAATTTCAATTCAAACTATCGAGAATTATCGAGAACGATTTGTTTTCAAGGAGATAACATTTTTTTCGATTTATCGCGATTTCCGATTTAGCGGGGTACAAATTATCGATACAAACTATCGACTGTATATGATTTTCCCCGCTTTCCATCTCAAATGAAGTTTATCATATGACTATCTCAGCTAGTGCATTCAATATTCGACTTTCGTATATCCACCATAATTGATATAAATTACGCTGAATTTTGCATTATATTTTTTTTCGCTTTTTTCTGCCTTTTTTCTTTGCTGTTGATTTCGCAAGCAGAAATTGCATAGCTCAAGCTGCCCCGATCTACCGACTCCCTGTGTTTCATAAGAATTATGCAAAACGACAAGGAAAAGCGTAGAAATTTGTGCAAAATCGTTTTGATATCCAGTAAATAACTGGCGAATTGTTAGGGTTTTATTCAGCGAGCATTTTTAGGCCTTAGATGGAGTTTACTACAATTATAAGGAGGATGATGAAATAGAGGAATTAAGTATTTGTGGTCTTATATTGTTAGTTTTTGAAGCTGAAGAGATTGAAGTTGACATTGTCTCATTTTCCCAAAATAGATAAATATCGAAAAGGGTTTCTGGCTATAAGTAGAAT